TACTCCACAATCTATAGAAGTAGAACCCAGAAGAAGCAAGAGAGGAAGAATTGAAAAGAATTTCGGAGAAGAGTTCTTTACCTTTTTGGTTTAAGGTGATCCAAACACCTACCAAGAAGCCATGGATTCTTCTGAAGCTCCTTTTTGGAAAGAAGCCATAGATAGTGAAATTAAATCTATTATAGAAAATAATACTTGGGTTTTAACTGACTTACCTCCAGAATGTAAACCAGTTGGTTGTAGATAGATTTTCAAGAAGAAATTAAGATATGAGGGAACCATTGAGAAATACAAAGCTAGACTGGTAGAAAAAGGGTATACTCAAAAAAAGGATATTGACTACTTTGATACATACTCCCCTGTAGCTAGGATTTCAACTATTAGAGTTCTTCTAGCATTAGTTTCTATTCACAAGATGACTATTCACCAAATGGATGTTAAGATCTCTTTCTTAAATGGCGATCTCGAAGAAGAGATTTATATGGACCAACCGGAAGGGTTCTTAGCCAAAGGTCAAGAAAGAAAGGTATGCAAATTGGTGAAATCTCTATATGGACTTAAACAAGCTCCTAAACAATGACACCAAAAATTTAACAAAATCATTACAGAATATGGGGTTTCTATCAATGAGTTTGATAAATGTGTTTACTCAAAAGTTATTCACAATGATTGTGTCATCTTGTGTTATAAATGTGTTTACTCAAAAGTTATTCACAATGATTGTGTCATCTTGTGTTTGTATGTAGATGATATTCTCATCTTTGGGACAGTTATTCACAATGATTGTGTCATCTTGTGTTTGTATGTAGATGATATTCTCATCTTTGGGACTTCAATCAAAGTTGTTCTAGAAGCTAAATATCATTTGTCAAAGAATTTTAACATGAAAGATCTTGGAGAAGCTGATTGGATTCTTGGAATGAAAATCTCCAAAACTTTTAAAGGCATTTCTTTGAGTCTATCCCATAGCATAGAGAAAATGTTAGAGAAATTTGAATTTCATAAGTGCAAACCTATGAATACACCTTATAATTCCTCAATCACCTTGAACAGACATGATGATGAGCCTATATCCCAACATAGATATTCACAATTAATAGACTCTCTTCTTTATGTGACAAACCGAACCAGACCTGACATTGCTTATGCAGTAGATAGACTAAGTAGATACACTAGTAACCTAAGTCAGGATTAATAGAATGCGTTAGAAAGAGTCTTTAGATATTTGAGAGGCACAACAGAATATTGTTTAATTTATACTGGATACCCTGATGTGATTGAAGGGTATAGTGATGCTAACTGGGTCACTAATTCTGATAATGTGAAGTCTATTTCTGGATTTATTTTTATGCTTGGTGATGGTGCTATATCTTGGAGGTCTTGTAAGAAAATAATGATTGCCAGAAGCACCATGGAGTCTGAACTTATAGCTTTAGATTCTTGCTGCTCAGATGTTGAATGGTTGAAGAACCTTATATTTGAGCTCCCTTTTGTGTCTGGATCTATTCCTCCCATATCTATTCACACAGACTCCAGATCCACTATAGAACTTTTTAAAAAAATACCATTAATAAAAAGTTGAACAAACATCTGCAGATAAGATTTAAATCTGTGCAGAACATTATGGGAAAATAAGTGTTTATCTAGGAGTGCAGTCCTAGAATCATCGAGGGGAATGTGGTTAAGCCCATAGTAGAGTTCATTGACAGCGGGAACCCAACCTTTGATTGGTGAGTTATTCTCATGGAAGGTTCAATGTGGTAGAAACAAACTGGATTGGTGATCTCATATGGAGCACTGACCTTCGGAGTTATACTTCTTTTATAGTATTGGATGTATTTATGACTTGCACCATGTTAGCTACTCCCTCATTCCTATGGTGACAGTGCTCATATGATGTGACTGGGCAGGACGAGTTCTACTCTTAATAAGTCCAACATTTGTGGGGCGTGCAATATCCAGGACTTACCTACGTGAGAGGAACCGTGACGACCGCAGTTGGGGACATAGGGCTGATTCCTAGTAACTCTCATGAGATGGTTATTGTAAGCATGACCATTAACGCTTCAAACCGCTCGCTCAATAAATGGATGCATATTATGTGTGCTTTTGTTAATTTCTGATCAAGGGGTCTAATGCAAGGTCTAATCCATTATGCCACTCAGATTGCGACAAATGTCACTAAGCAAATATTCAAAGCCGAAAACTATCTTTGCCGATTTATATGAGGTTGCCCGACCTATGTTTTTTGTTATCATTATTATAGTTGTTATTTTTTATTCCCAAAACTCAATCTTTTTTTTTGGGGGGGGTGTTGGAATTAATTAAAAGATTGAATTCTTACTTAATTCTTATACAAATATGATATTTTGAGGGGTACATTTGCATAATATATATTTCTTTCCTTATCCTCTTCTCTGTATAACACTTCCCCGATTCCTCCATTCTCTTTCCTCTGAGCGGAAGATTCTCCCCCATATGGTGGCAACGTCGGCGTCCTCTCCGGCCTCATCAACAAGTGTTCACTCAACGGAAAAAATTCACAAGGCTATTAAAATGGATCTCAGGGAAGTCTGAAGAACAGAAGAAAAAAGAATGAGCAATCTCTATTCTCTCTCTCATAATTCTCTACAATATTTTGATTTATCGTTTTAATTTGTCAGACAAACATCCATTGAGCAAGAGACCAAAGTTCGCAGTAAACTTTGGTGCCGGCCTTCTCGGGGGGTTCTTACCGCTAACCGTGGTCGTATCGAATCGCCTCTACGAAGACAGCGACTATTGTTCTAGGGCAGTGATCACACGATTACCCCTTTCTCGGGTCCGCTTTCCAACCCGTTTTTGGAATTCTTTCTGATTATTTGCGGTGATTTTTCTGACAAATTCATGGTATAACTGAGCTCGAGTCAAAAGTTTGGACTGAGTTCAAACTGGATTGAACCTTGAACAAAATAAACGCCGGAAGATTTTTTTCCCCCAAAAAATCTTCTGAAAAGGTATTGCATGTTACATAAAAAGATACCGTATGCTACCATAAAACGTTGCATTCTTTCAATTCGTCGCAACATTTAGGGGGTGTTTGTTTTTATGAAAGTGAATTGTAAAAGTATGAAAGTAAAATGATTTTAAGACTTTTGGTGTTTGTTTTATTGAAAGTAATTTTGAAAGTAAAATGTTAAAATGAGTCCACATAAGCTCTAATGCATGTTTAAGTTCCCCTAAAAAAGTGCTGAAGTCAAGTGAAAGTGAGAAAAAAGTGGGGACCACTCCTAATTAATTAGTATATTTATTATTTATCTTACCTTATTTCCCATGTTATTCGGCGGAAACAATCACCTCCCCCTAAAATTTTCTTACATGCTAATTATATTATTTCTTTTATAGCTGTGTACATTGTTATGTCATGTATATAATATGAATTAGACAAGTTATGAACATGACTACACATTTTAGCGTGATTGTTGTACAGTTGTAACATGACTAGGCATTTAATAAGCCATTACGTTATTAAAAAAATATAAAGTACATAAGTAAAAAAAATACATAATACAAAGAATCTATAAAAATTAGTACAAGTAATTGATGATATATATACACGAGGCTTTCAATTCGTTCTTTAGTTGTTACCAGAATAATTATTAGAGTTTAGAGTGTAATATGAATTTAAATAACAAATAAATAAATAATTGCCACATCATCTTTATTTTCCTAGTTCCAAGATTAATTCATTTTTACAAACAAACATTGCATTTCACTTTCATGTTGACAGGGATCTACTTTCGCACTTGCAAAAATAAGTGACTTTCACACCTTCGTGTCACCTTCATTTAACCAAACACCCCCTTAACTAAATTGTCTAATAATTAATGGGATTGTAATGTATATGGAAACGGCAAAGTAGGGCCTACCATAGATTCATTATGTGAGCTACATTTCTATTAGTTAACCGCTACTAATCCAAATCAAGGCAAAGGGGGGGCTTTATTAGCCTAATAATTACAAAACCACTGTTACTGCAAGTCCACCTACCAACCGAACTCCTTTTTCATCAAATTTCCTCTTCCACTCCCTTTTGAGACTTTTTGTTTCCTATAAAAAAAAAGGTTGAGAGGATTAGCTTGACCTCAACGTCACACAAAGGCACGCCCTTTATATCATTACATGTATCATCTACCTTCAAAGTTGATCCAAACATTAATAATGAGATCTAGATATAGATTGGATTGAGAAAAGGAGAAACCAAGCTACCCATGGTCTCTTCTTTTTCTCTTTTGTCATCACAGTGCATTCTTGCCTTTTGTTAAGCAACTTCTTCTTTCATTTTCATTTCGTTACCGATAAATGTAATAGAAAAACTTATGCGATTATGATCACTAATAATATGAGAAGTAGTGTGCTAATCACTCATCAAGCATCGTACAGTATCCTTACATAACCTACAGTGCTAAAATACATTAAACATTTTGAGTCGTCATTTAAATATATAAAAAAAAATCATAAATCGAGAGGTGGATATATTGACCATAAATGACAAATGACCAAATTGAGAGTCATTTAAATGAGGGGTTTTGTGAGATCAAAACATTTCGAAGGGTTTTGTGCAAAACCCCCCTCAGTTCAAGGGATTTTGTGAAATTAACTCTTGTCTAAGACAATAACCACGGAGAGATTTCGACCGTAACTATTACCCTAGTATGATGATTAACTCTTGGAATTAATAGATCTTGTGGTGTTATTTGTAAATATTAAATTCGAGAACCTAAAACAAGACAAAACCTAGGGCTTTACTGCGATGAAATACCACAACTCAACAATTGAGGTTGGGGATGTAAATTAACAATATATGAAGTACAGTACACAATTGAGAAATAATCTAGGGTCTAACATGACAAAAGACCCCCATAATGGAGGCTAATCAGGCATAAATCCATATTTAAAAGGCAATTAACCAATTAGTAAAATATTCCAACAAAAAAAGGGGGAAAAGTCGCGCGTGCCGTTAATTTCTCCTTTTACTCCCACTAACCTCCACTCTCCTCAATTGCTCGCCTCCAAACAAAGAAAGGAAAGTCTTCTCAATTTGAGAAGCAAATCAACCGAGAACAAACAATGGAGACCCAAAACCCATCTCCTTCCCCTTCCCCTTCCGCCGTCAAAACTAACGCCGTCAACGGCAGCAACAGGGAAAGATCACTGGGCGATGGGGCTCTGTACGTGAAAGTGATGACGGACGAGCAGATGGAGGTCCTCCGCCGTCAGATCTCAGTCTACGCCTCCATTTGTGAGCAGCTCGTTGAGATGCATAAAGCCGTCACTGCCCATAACGACTCCATTGCAGGTTACAGATTTAACTTTTTTTATTTCTCTCTCTTTAAAAGATGCAATTTTGGGTTCTGGGTTTTTTCTCAATCTTTGGGAAGGAGAGGTTTTGCAAGCGATTCTTCTATTTTTAGGTATTTTTTGGTTTCTGGGTTTTGCTTACCTCGAGGAAATGAGAGATTTTGAGATGGGAAATTTGAGTTTCTTACAGTCAGTCGGGCAAAAATTTTTTTTTTTGCTATTCGTGCCTTTTGCGGCTTTCTGTAATTTTATCTAATTTGGTGCAGTTTTAGTCTCTGACACTAACTATAGTTTAGTTAGGCATTTATTGATCATCATGCTTTTATTGGGCTCAATTCAAGGTTACTAGTTTGGGTTTCAGTTTTTTACACACCCCACCCCGCCCCCCCCCCCCTTACGTTGCTCTGTAATTAGATGAGCTGAATGGTTAATCCATGTGAAGACGACGCAGTTATGAACTGAATCTGGAAGCTACTTTGTAATAGACCTGTAATTAGAATCTATACACTTTAGGCTGGCAGTTTGTGCACACTACAATTGTGAAAATTTCCGTCTTTTTCGCTTGTATCTAGCCAACTGAGTGTAGGTGACGTTCAAATTAAAATAGAGTTTTCATGGCATGTTTGGCAACTAAGCCCTGTTTTATCGAGGTCCATGAATAATACAGGCTAACATGTTTTCAATTCATTTTCAAAAACATTCATCTAATGTTTAGGCTAAATAGCACTTAAATTCCTTACAGTTTAACCTACTTTGCATCTTATGTATATACCCCAACTTGCAAAAGGTAGTAATTAATAAACCCTAGTTTCTCTTCGTTAGAATCTCTAGATGGAGTTAATTTTTTAGGGTTAAAGGTCAAACACACACACACACACACACACACACACACACACAGAGACACACTCATTTTAACCCACACACCCACCCACCCACACACACACACACTGTCTCTCTCTCTCACAAAAATTGTAAATACAGCAATCAATGAGGGTAAAAGAAACCTATAATCGACATGTTGGGAATATTCTCATGTTTAAGTAACAAAAGCTATTAACATGACATTTTTAAGCAAGGTAGGGGTATTTAATTGCTACATTTTACAACTTGGGTATATAAGTGCAAAGTAGGTTAAACTATAAGGTGTTTAAGTGCTATTTAGCCTAATTTTTTTTCTAGTTACGACCTTAATGTAGTATTGACACATTGCATAATTCAATGTTTTCCAGAAAAATCTATTATGGGTATATTTCATTACCGAAAAATCTATTATGGTTTCCTCTATTCCAGTGTAGGAAATTTCTGGTTCTATTTGTCATGGTCTCCAAGAAGTCATCAATCTTCATGATATGTGGTCTATTCAAGTTAATGGTATTATTTGATACTTTGTTGTTTCTCCCTTAGTCTACCACAGTTACGCTGTCAGTTTTGTGCATGTCTATGCTGATGTAACTAGACATTCACGTTCAACAATATTTTTAGTAAAGATCATGGGCAATTTTTCAATTAACTTTCTACAATTGTATCACAGAGCTTAGAAATCACAATCATAATGTTTGATCTTGAGTAGACATGGAGTTAAGAATATAGGATAATAACCGGCTCACAATCTAATTGGAAATTGCGATCCAAATCTAATAGTGAGTGTCAGGGTGGCATGCTGAATTAGTTAAGTAAACAGAGGATACCACAGTAGATGGAAGATAAATATCTTTCATGCATGCAAAAGATTGAGAAATTTAGCTTAAAAGCAGTAATAATTCTCATCTGTCTTATCAAATTGTATATTCCTCATGTGAATGCGTTAAATGAAAGGGTAAATTTCACTAAAGCCCCAGTAAGCTTGGCAATTTTGCACTCAACCTCCCAAAAATTGGAAACTCTTAGTAAAGCCCCAATAAGTTTGGGAATTCCAGAAAACCCCAAAACATTTTGATTTTTTCCCACTTAAGCCCTACTGAATACTTCACGACGTTTATGTGAAATTCTCTGTTTGGGAACTCAAAATATGGGCTGACGCCATTATGAGGATCAAGTGAAGAAAATACATTCTGGGAGCTTTTCTGAAATTCCCGAAGTTATTGGAGGTCTCGTGAGAGTTTCAAAATTTCTTGGGATTCAGTGCCATATGCACAAACTTTTTTATGGAAATTAACCTTACAAGAAAACATCTCTCTCCCATGCAACCAAATAATGTAGCTGGGTATTCATTGTCTGCCTTTGTGCTACTAGGACGATGATTCTGTTATTCATGAATCCATAAACTTTCTGTTATCTTTCATAACGGCTAGATTTCTTGTTTAGGTATGAGGCTCGGGAACCTTTATTGTGATCCCCTAATGAGCACTGGAGGCCATAAGATTGCAGCAAGGCAGCGATGGACTCCAACACCAATTCAGTTGCAGATTCTTGAGAGCATATTCGACCAAGGCAATGGAACCCCAAGCAAGCAAAAGATAAAGGAGATAACTAACGAACTCACCCAACACGGTCAAATTTCTGAAACAAATGTCTATAATTGGTTTCAGAATCGGAGAGCGCGATCAAAGAGAAAGCAGATGACCAATGCATCAAATTATCCTGAATCTGAAGCTGAGGGAGAGAATGAGTCCCCAAAAGAAAAGAAAGCTAAGTTACATAATGGAGATGATTCTTCCTACAATAACACACCTCAGGATCCTAAAAGAATACAAGGGGTTTCTCCATCAAATTCAAAGTCATCTGGTAGTCTTGGCCAGATGTCTTTCTATGAAAATATTCTATCGAATCCAAGTAAGTAAATGTTTCCTCGGTTAAGTTTCACAAAGCCTTCCTTAAGTTTGGGGTGTTATGCACAAAACCCCTGTGAACTTTACAAATCGCAGAAAGTCTTCCTTGAACTTTCAAAATTATACTAAACCCTCTTGAATTATTGTAGATTCTCATAAATGACGTTAGTGTGTAGAGTAAAAGGTCTAAACTACATTCTTTACGTGTTGCCTACCCTTATCTGAAAAGGGCAATGTAGAAGTTCTATTTAGTGGACAGGGGTAAAAATTTTCAAATGTTATTACATGCAGAGAATGCGACAACTTTAAGTGTTGGACACTCGGACATCAGTATGATACTCAAGTGAGACAAGCTCGGGGGCTTTTCTATGATTTATAAATTTCCAGTTGGTTTTGTGCAAATCCTCACAAAGTTAATGTGGTTTTGTCAAATTTACCCTATTTCATTTAATTTTCTTTATTTTCATTTAGTATAGGTAGGAATATTACATTTTTTTATCGGGTCGATGAATGATGCAGGAATGGATCAATTGATGGGGAAAATGGAGGTACCTGGGAGTTACAGTCCTTTTGAGTCTGCTGAGAGCTATGACTTCATGGGTTGAGCCTGCTGTTTGAATTTGAGCTCTCTGTGAGCTTGGACATGGACTCAGTAGGATAGCATTGGAAATTAACAGCAGAATGTTGGAGGATCAACAAATGTGCAGTTCCTATTATATGCTGCACATTAGAAAGCTCTATATCCACAGATGTTAATAGTTAAGGTGATGACGGTTGTAGTAAACTGAAAGATTATCTTGAATTTTCTATTTACTTATTAATATAAACTTAGTATTGACATAGCTGCTCCTTGATTTATGTTACCAATGATTTGAATTATTTTTCCGCCATACTATCTCGTGTTTGAAAAGGAAAAACGATTGAAATACGACCTTTATTGAATTTTCTTTTTATTTGACCTTCATTGGTTCTTCCTTTTATTTGGTAAATAAATTGGTAAAAGATCTTTAACTCCTCTATATCCAGTATTTGAGTCGGTTGGTCAATTTCTTAAGAAACAAAGGACTGATCATCTTGGGGATGAACTCGATCACCATTAGATGAAAGAGTTTGTACAGAAAGCATAATTTTGGGGTTGAAGCTGTGAATCTTTCTCAAAGTACACACTCTTCCTATGAATGGTTAGAGATTAATCACTGCCCCGACATTTTTATTGGTGGAAGTGCTCACATTAATGCAGGCTATCTTGTGTCTTTAAGCATCTATGCACATGCGTTTATACACCACCACGTGTAAATGTTTATAAGCGCATTTGTAACTAAAGTATCCAGTAATAACGGTCCATAACAATAAATATGCGTCTAAGGGGATCAACTTTCGGATTGGCGCATGAATCATGAAATTCGATGGTCTAAGAAGAATGCACATTTATTGTCATGAACCATCCCTACTGAATACCGTCTAGGATTGAGCGTTTAAATAGCTGTGGTGCAAGAGATGGGCGAAGAATGTTTTTAGACGTATTTGATACAAAGTCCAAGGTTTTAGACCTACAGGCTTTTCTTTTCAATGCAAAACTGCAAAACGCGCACCAAATGTGTAGAACAAACAACTCCGAATCGTGATTACACTGGTTAACGGAATGTAATCCTTACCCTGTTTTCCATCTGTTTGGAAATAAAAAAGTGCTATATGCTTTTCTTTATAAATTAAGGGTCGTGTCTTAACCTTTTTAAAGAGGCTGATCAGTAAAACCCCGAGTTTTGAGAGGTTTAGCTTATTTCAGACCTGAGCTTATAGGGTGTTATTTCAACCCTCTTAGGGGCTGTTTGGTTGGCTGAGAAACTAAGAAAAGGAAATCAAAACACCCAACACACCCATGTGAAGGTGTTTGGTTTTCTTTTCGTGTTTTTGGTTGAGAGAAGAAAAAAATAGATGTTGTGCATGTAGAACCCACCCACTAGTAAGATAATAGTGCGATGTGTCCCAAATTTAAGGAAAATCATTTCCTTACAAAAAGTCGTGAAATGGGTTTGAAAACATGAAAATGGGTCTCACAATCTATTTTCCATGACTAATCTCACAAACTTAGGTTTCTAGGAAATGAACCAAACAGCCCCTTTAAAATAAATGTGTTCGGAAAAAAATTAATACATGTTATCTCATGCAAAACTAGTGACATCTCTTTAATTGCAGTATATTAATTAGTGTAATCTTGTTACTTTGATCTCCCAACAAAATCTCGAAAACCTAAAATTCAAACTTGGGTTTGGTTCCGGTGTCAGTTAGACCCCGACCCAAACCTTTTTCTAACCCGACCCGCTTTCTGAGTTTCTTCTCCATTAAAAAAGCCTCACAACCAAGGACAGAGAAAGAGAAACGAAGAGAACGCAGAAGGAAAAAACAATAATAATAATAATAATAAATGTCGAAATCAATCGATCTCAACGCGACGGTGAACCACGACACGCTCCGATTTGGATTAGACGGAGTCAAAGGCGACATCGTCGGCGTTCATCCTCTCCAGTCCCTTCGAGAGACCGTGAGAAACCCTAACCCTAACCCTAATCTCATGTCCTGAGCTTTTCTCGTTGTTCTGATTTCGGACTGGCTTCTTTGATCTGATGATGATTTAGAATCTGAGGAGCTTGGCGGAGAAGAAGAGACAGGGGCTGGATCTCACCTATGGCTCGGCTTTCAACCTGAAGAAGGATCTCGATCGCCAAATCCTCTCCAGGTCTCGATTCTTAACCGTTAAATTATGCCTAGAACTAGGTTTAATGATGCTTTAACCAACAAATATGAGTGTCGAAAGCTGGTGATTTAAGGTTTGATCGTGTTATTTTTAGTTATTTGTGTGGGATAGGAGTTGAGAGTCTTTTGGGTTTAGGAGAAGTCACCCCTAAAACCTAATTGTTAGGTGGAGGTAAGGGAGATCACTATAAACTCTGATCGAATACCCATATAGTCAACATTTTAACACTGCACTTCCGCAGCCTGTCTAGCACTGTCCTAGTGAAGGTCAAAACATCGCTACTTTTCCCTTGCACTAGTACTTGATTCAGAGAGAACGTAAGGTCGGAAACTGAGAAGCATGGAGCTGGCTCTGATACCATTGTTAGAGACACCCAAATTCTAGGAACCGTACCAAACTACTCGTATAGTACACTTGTCTTTATGGAATTGGATGCGTGCAATTCTATTCTTTTTTATTATTTAAATTGCCGGTTTAATTTTTTATTGTTCTACAGAAACTTTATCTTTTAATTTTATGGTTAGCTTAAAATTTGAAGTTTGATATGAAAGCAGCTATGATTTTAAATGTTAGTAACCACCTTAGGATAGAGATTATCCTTGTGAAAGGAAAGACATTTCAATAAAGATTATATGACATCAGCTCATATGCTGAAACGTAAGCAGACTCTTCTTCTTGTAGTCCAAAACTATATTTTTAAGTCATCGTCTGTTGCGATTGGCAGCAGTCACAACCGACATGTGTATCTGTCAAGCTTACTGTATTTTTCTTGACTAGCAAAGTGGATAATTTAGTTATCTATCATAGTTTCGGGTATTTATCTTGGGTCAAAAAGTGGATAATTTAGTTGTATATTTAATTGAGTCCACATGCATTAGTGTATTTAATTAAAGATGGACAACCCACAGATGATGCCGATGAATGTATGAAATTTGGTTTGTTGCAATGTTAGGCATTGAACTTCTTGGCACATAATAGAGGAGCCTCAATTTTTAAACATACGAGTTAGCTTCTTGTTAGGGAAACTACGTTGAGTACTGACTTTACGCCTTGAATAATAGTTTCTGTTATAGTGGTCTTTTTTATACTTTTGTTGCTATGAAGTTAATATTATAAAGAACAATGAGCCTGACATTGTTCATGTTCTTTGTTATTAGTAGTAAATATACTTTAAAGTATACTTTTCCACTTCATATTTAAATCCATTTAAGCAAATACGGTTAGCATTAATCAAAATTTAGATAGTATATGAGGTGGTTTGCATTTTCTTCATTTATAAACAGATTATTAACAATTTTTTGGTGACCACTCGGCATATATCTGGTCCATTTGTAGCTAACATTGTATTATTTATACATGACTACCATATATGTGTGATAAAAATAGCACAATTAATATACAAGTTCTTAATATCATGCTTAGTGCTTGGATATCCATTCCATTTTTAATTTGTAAGATAAGTTTCAATTATAGAAAGATTGCTAATTTTAAAATTCTAAGCCTTGTTTTGTTATGAGAGTAAATGCATAGGACAGAGACATTTTTAAAGAGAGTTACGAAGAGTAATATTTATTATTGGTTATGTGAATAATGAGAGGGTTGATAAGATATGGGGAATCGGGGATTTAAGTTTTAATGATGGATTTGGAGTAAAGATTGTATTTTCAGAAAACAAATTGTAATTAAGTAAAGGGTTGTTTTAAGGATGTTTTGTGAATAATTTGGAGGTAGTTTTCATGTGACTATCACATGCTAACTCTAATTTGTCTAGTATAAATTAGAGAGTTCAACAAGAGTTATTGAGAGTTGAATTACCTCTTGCTAACTTTCTTGATAAAGAACTTGTTAGTTTTATCTAGTTATACTGGTGGATTTATATAATATCATTTAGATTTGTGTACATATAATTTTCTCATATAATTTTCTCATATTTTTAGCACTGTCCTAGTGAAGGTCAAAATATCAACATCTCTACTTTTCCCTTGCGCGCTAGTACTTGATTCAGAGAGAACGTAAGGTCGGAAACTGAGAAGCATGGAGCTGGCTCTGATACCATTGTTAGAGACACCCAAATTCTAGGAACCGTACCAAACTACTCGTATAGTACACTTGTCTTTATGGAATTGGATGCGTGCAATTCTATTCTTTTTTATTATTTAAATCGCAGGTTTAATTTTTTATTGTTCTACAGAAACTTAACTTTTAATTTTATGGTTAGCTTAAAATTTGATGTTTGATATGAAAGCAGCTATGATTTTAAATGTTAGTAACCACCTTAGGATAGAGATTATCCTTGAGAAAGGAAAGACATTTCAATAAAGATTATATGACATCAGCTCATGTGCTGAAACATAAGCAGACTCTTCTTGTAGTTCAAAACTATATATTTAAGTCATCGCCTGTTGCGATTGGCAGCAGTCACAACCGACATGTAAATCTCTCAAGCTTATTGTATTTTTCTTGGCTAGCAAAGTGGATAATTTAGTTATCTATCATAGTTTCGTGTATTTATCTTGGGTCAAAAAAAGTGGATAATTTAGTTGTATATTTAATTGAGTCCACATGCATTAGTGTATTTAATTAAAGATGGACAACCCACAGATGATGCCGATGAATGTATGAAATTTTGTTTGTTGCAATGTTAGGCATTGAACTTCTTAGCACATAATAGAGGAGCCTCAATTTTTAAACATACGAGTTACAAATTGTTACTCTTGTATTTTTCTCTTGGTGAGTTCTAGTTAGCTTCTTGTTAGGGAAACTACGTTGAGTGCTGACTTTACGCCTTGAATAATAGTTTCTGTTATAGTGGAGGTCTTTTTTATACTTTTGTTGCTATGAAGTTAACATCATAAAGAACAATGAGCCTGACATTGTTCATGTTCTTTGTTATTAGGAGTAAATATACTTTTAAAGTATACTTTTCCACTTCATATTTAAATCCATTTAAGCAAATACGGTTAGCATTAATCAAATTTTAGATAGTATATGAGGTAGTTTGCATTTTCTTCATTTATAAACAGATTATTAACAATTTTTTGGTGATCACTCGGCATATATCTGGTCCATTTGTAGTTAACATTGTATTATTTATACATGACTACCATATATGTGTGATAAAAATAGCACAATTAATATACAAGTTCTTAATATCATGCTTAGTGCTTGGATATCCATTCCATTTTTAATTTGTAAGATAGGTTTCAATTATAGAAAGATTGCTAATTTTAAAATTCTAAGCCTTGTTTTGTTATGAGAGTAAATGCATAGGACAGAGACATTTTTAAAGAGAGTTACGAAGAGTAATATTTATTATTGGTTATGTGAATAATGAGAGGGTTGATAAGATATGGGGAATCGGGGATTTAAGTTTTAATGATGGATTTGGAGTAAAGATTGTATTTTCAGAAAACAAATTGTAATTAAGTAAAGGGTTGTTTTAAGGATGTTTTGTGATTAATTTCAAGGTAAGGGTGTTTTGTGAATAATTTGGATGTAGTTTTCATGTGACTATCACATGCTAACTCTAATTTGTCTAGTATAAATTAGAGAGTTCAACAAGAGTTATTGAGAGTTGAATTACCTCTTGCTAACTTTCTTGATGAAGAACTTGTTAGCTTGATCTAGTTATACTGGTGGATTTATAGGATATTGGAGCTGATTAGGATAATATACATCATGCCCCCCCCACCCCACCCCACCCAACAAAAAAAAAGAAGCTGCAGTCACTCAGCTGATACGAGATGAAAGATAATAATAACTTGAAGCACATGCTTCTATCATGTCTCCTCAAACATGCTACTTAAAGCTTTTAACTACGTAATCTCCTTTTTGAATGAAGCTAAGGTATCAAGTGACCTATAACAGAGAGTTTCCTCAGGGAATTCACACAAATGTTTATCAACCTTATACTTGTTTGATCACCCATCTGACAAGTGTGCAAGTTATATGCCTTCAACTCCCCTTGTATATGTACAGTAACTTTTATTTTAGCCATATCAATTGTAAATCCAAAACATCAGTTGCGCCTTATCTTTTTTGGCTAAATCATATGTCACAAAGATTTCCAGCTCTTTTGATTCCTTTACGTAGTCATTGTATAACGTACATGGTTCAACAGCTCTTCCAGAATCCATGCATATTTGATTGTGTAAAAATCTACTATCCCCATTCTTGCTCAACCTGCAAAGCTAATTTTGAATATCTTGTATACACTACATTTACACAGTTTAGTCAGGCTTCCCTTCTCGTCCTGTTCTTCCTTTTTTTCCTGTATTTCGTTGACCAGTTTTAGGTTGTATATTGTTTTGAAGTTGATCCCTCCATGGTTAAACTAGACATGGGAAAATCCCTACATAGATTGGATGCTAGACATGGGAAACTCCCTATATAGATTGGATATGTCTATTTTGATGGGTAAAAATTTCTCAAACTTGTCCACGTGTAATATTCAGCCCATAGCCCTGTTTTCCCTTATCTGGCAGATTGAAATAGAATTCATTATACAAGCTAACTTCTGCATTCTAAAGGACTAAATTTAATTATCTTTTGGTGTCTTTCCTTTCCAACCATGATCGCTCAATATATCACTGCAATGTCTCAGGTGAGTGTTCCAGGATGGTGTTGCATTTTCATGTGGTTCAGTGTGCTCTATTTCTATAACCAGCAATGCCAAGATATATGGTGTTGCATGTCCTGTGGGCCAGTCTGCTCTAGTTCTATAACAAACAATGCTTGATACAACCGTATGCTTATAATTAAACTAGATCTACAACTTAACGCCAAAACCCAATAAAATCCACATGCATAAAATATTGTATAGTTCATATATCTATGAACAAATCTAAGCCAAGACATCACTGAGAGATGCTACAAGAAAATTTCAGTTAATCGGCAATGAATTAGCACTAATGAAGATAAAAAAGATAAGATCAACAACACCATCCACATTAAATCAGATTTACAACTCAACCCAAATCCCTGTATAATGTACAAAAAAAAAAACAAAAAATCCTACAGACATCAACACCTGAATCTACAATCTAATACTACAACAAACGACATAGAGAAAAACATGAAACTGTTTTGCTACCTTGCCTCTTCAAAATAATTTGTAGAAACAAAGTTACCAAAGCCTGTAGAGGGGAAAAACATTCAACAAGATAAAAATGGCGATCACAAAAGTAAACCGGCCATAAATCTGCTAAAAGAACACATAAGCTCAAAACTCAAGATTAACAGCACATAGGACAAGAAGTTTCAGAGAAAGGAAACCACTAAAGAACTAAATATTAGTTTTTTTTTTTTTGGGGGGGGGG